CAGAAATCATTTTGGCCAGTGTTAGAAAATGTTCTGGCTTGTTCTTTTCTTATTATTTGGTCTTTTTATAGCTCGTCTTCATTGTATTTTTCCCTCTGTATTGATCATACATCTGCTTGCTTGCCAAAGCAGGGGTCATATTTTTTCAAGTGCTGATGCCGCAGTATCTTAGCTTACTGATGCTACAGAGGTAAAGGTTATGTTTAGAGGGTAGGTCCATGGTCTTGTCTTTATTCACTTCACCTGTATTCTGGGCAAAGAATGTGAAAGCTATTGTGTTTTCCACACAAGTTTGCCATTTTATGCTAACTTTCTGCTATATTAGCTGTAGTCTTTTTCACCATTAATTTCTCGATAAGATAGCTCGGCACCTTTGACTTCTTTTCTCAGCACCTTCAACTTCTTTTAAGAGTGTTATTCCCTCATGCTTCAGCCGTTTTAAAAACACCCAATGTATTTTTGCTAATGAATCCTTTGTTTACAAAGATTCAATATTATTATGCCATTGTCAAATTGTAAGACAGTGTAGGTGGGTCAGGCTTTAACTTTTCAGTTAGCTCTTGCACAGCCCTTAGAAAAAGCAGCTGAACCATCTTTATCAGAATCCCGTCACGATTTTTTAGTTTTCCTCCTGTATCATAGGATCCCAGACTGGTTTGGGTTAGAAGGAACCTTAAAGCTCATCCAGTTCCAACCCCCTGCCATGGGCATGGACACCTTTCACTAGACCAGGTTGCTCAAAGCCCAGTATCTTGGGGTGTTTTTGTCGTTTCTCAGAGAAACTATTACATGCCGTAAGACTAGATACAGTCCTTGGACTCTGAGCACATAATGGTATTTTAAAGGGAGAGAATAGGACAGATGTAACGTAAGGCCAAAGAACTTGCACAGTGAGAGAGCTGGTTGGCTTTCACCAAAGCAAAAGTTATTTAGGAAGTCGTTACTGTACGTCTCGAAGTATAATAGCATAAAATTGCCACTCTACATCAAACAGCGTAATTCTACTAGAATTCAATTCAAGCACAGTTTACTATTGGATTAAATTTTAAAAAATCAAATTAAAATGGTGATTGTGACAGTTATCTGGCAGAGGGGAGCTTGCCAGATGCCTCTTCCCTAATGTCTTGTGGTTCACTTGTTGACCTTTTGTACTTTGTAATGTGTATTTAGATGGAAAAAAGAAGTTGGAGGTTTGGAAGAGTGGAGTCCATCAAATTAATAATTAAAATTTAGTAATTTTCTTACCATTTTAATAAGTGCCCATTATTTCTGTCAGATATCTGCAATAGCAGGACCTTGTTCCTACCAATAACCACTTCTCCGTTGTTCTTCTTCCATGCCCTCCCTATTTCTTCCTTTGCATTAAGGAAAAACTAAAGTAATTGACTTGGTGCTTGTGGCCACCAAGTCATGGCTGCATTTGTCTTGTGGCTTTCCAGTCTCCTTCCAATTTTCTGCTTGTTGTATTCCAGTTCTTTCATCTCTCCTTTCGCTTCCTTCTTCCCAGGCTAAACCTCTGCTTTCTAGATAATGTATTGAATAGGCTAAAATTCTTTTGGTCTGTATTTGTACTGTGTCACCCTGCACCCACACACATACCTATACAGAAAGTATAAAATGATAAGATAAAAACCCTCAAAACAATCAGTTTGTGTAAAATTACAATGACTACTGAGATTTGCAGTTGTTCTTTGATACCTAATCTTACTGAATATTTTGTACTGCCTTGTTCTTAACCATCTTGTAATGTTCATTTTTGCTGTCAAATGAGTAAGGGCTGAGAATGAGGCAGGGGATTGTACACAGGATAAAAAATTCCCAGAACTCCAGTGTCTGTCTTTGGCTCTTAGTCACTTTCTGCCAGTGAGATTGGATATCCGATAAATGAATCATAAGAAATTTAATTGATCTCATTATGTGTCTAATTATTTGTGTGTTGATGAAAGGGAAGAGTAGCGTAGTTGCTTTTATATGCAGTTTCACATGGTGCTTGGTATATTGTAGAAAAAATGAGAAATCAGTTGGAAGGCAGATTATTTGGCAGCATTTTTCTGTTGACATCACAGCCCTTATTGTGACCTGCAAAGTCCTTCCCAAAGTACTGGGAGAGCTGATGCTAGTGCTGGAGTTGGACATTTGGTTAGTTTAAGCCAGTGATACCTCCTTCAGTTACTTTGGTGGCCTGCAGGGCTTCCTGATGATGTGTGCTCTATTCCATGGACAGCTCAGGAGACACAGCTCTGTCAGTTGGTAGTAGTGCCCAGAGGAACTTTGTTAGACCAATATTCTGTAATATTAGGTGGCTCCTATCAGGAAACCTGGGTTCCACTGCAGTTACATTTTGGAAGAAAAAACAGGAGCAATTTGGCAGCATGGTTCCATTTCTCCCTTCTGGGCTTGATGTTGAATTCTATCTTGTAATGTAGTACAAACAACATCAGAGATGTGATTGAAGTGCAACATTTTGATTGACCCAGAACAAATTTTAATTCTCATTCAAGCTAGATATCAAGTCTAAGCATCTCAAAGATTCACAGAGAAAAACTTGTGTCATTCACATTCCTTTAAACTCATGCTATTGAAGGCTCAAACAGATGCCAGTGAGTCAGGTTGATTGAGCTGTTGCACACACAAAAACCAAAACACTTTAATAAGCCTCTGGGCCTGGATCACGGAATGTTGTGTAATAATATTTGTTGTTTGCTGTTCCCTGTCTCAGACATCTTAAGTGAACTGTGGGCTTCTCCTGGTAAAACTTGGAAAATGGAAGACTGATATTAATGAAGAAGGGAATATTGCCCATTGTCTCTAGCCAAGTAGAAGTAATATTACGTGTCTGTGTGGTTTTATGTCTCTTGGGTGTGAAAACTACAGTACTTTCATAGACATTTGCATTGTTACCCAATAGGATGATCTCATTATTAAGTAGTAGCTCATCAGAGATTTTTACCTCATTTTTCACGGTCTGATTTAATAGTAATTTCCTAGTCTGTGATTGGAATGTGTTACCAGGTTATTTAGTTTCGTTATGGGATGTCTATGTATGTGAGATGTTGCATGCAAAACTTGTAATTTCCTCACTGCTTGAACTCTGCATATTCTACATTTCTTTTTGCCAGCCTTTTCTAACACCGCACCATTATTTCTTGTTCAGCCATCCTGCCACTTGGCTTGTGCTGACAGTGCCATACAGTGTCCAGTTTGATCTGTGTTGTTTAAATACATACCAATGGAGCCACTGCTGATCTGCAGTCAAAACATCTCTTCATTGCAATACTTTTTCCTTTCCACAGTCAAGGAGGGGGCAATTCATACTTGAAAAATTCTTTACCTTTCCGCTGTCTAGTAGTTAAGAGCTACTTACGAAAAGCCTTACTAGGCCTTTATATCCACTTTTTTCTCAATTGCTTCTTTCTTTGCTGGTTTATTTTTGTACCTTTTGTCTGAATATATTATGTGTGCACTTAACTAAAGGAGATGGTGGGGCATAAAAGTAATGAAAAGCTTCTTCAACACCACAGTGCAAGTTCTTGTAGTATAGCATTGGAGACTTACATTCTGCCTGTTTTCTCCAACATTATGGTTTTGATGAAGAATATGAGCTGTCTCAGTACTTTGATTTTAACATTCTAAGCATATTTGCATGTATGTTAATAGTCTAGTTCATGTGTAGGAGCATGCAGGAGAATTGCAGCTGTTGCTTGCACAAGAGAAACTGCTATAGCCTGATTGCTTGCATTTCTTTAGATTTCAGGTTTGTTCTTCCAAATTGATTTTCTGAGGTTTAATAAGGAGTTGAATGTAAATTAAATCTTTGCAAATGTACTGATAAAATCTCTTTCCCTTACCCGTTTAGCATTAAACTCACAAAAATTTGTATTTGAGAGCAGTGACCCTCTGGTTGAATGCTGTCAGTATAAAGTTGAACTTCGCCAGATGATAAATGTACAGCACAAAAATACAAAACTACTGCTTCTCAAAAAACTAGGCTTTAGAAGTAGAAGTCAGTTTTGCAAGTAAAGTCAGTGAGATTTTTCATTGTGATAAAGTCTCTTAAATCTTATCTTGCTAGAGTAACTGGTGTTAGTCATAACCGCACCACTGTACAGGGATTTGTTTGCAGTGTTTTAATGTAACTTCTATCAACATCAACAAATGTAAACTGAGAGCTCATTTCTTGATTGACTATCTCATATAATTTTGCCTTTGAAGCACACGCAAACACTGCTTGAGTTTGAATATTCTCAGTAGAATTACATATTGTCCTGTTACTCTTTTGCATTTGTTAGTAGTAGATGAGATCAAATATTGCCAAATGATCTCAGTGAGTTTTATTGTAATATAGGTACATTAAGCATTTTACAAGCAAAAGATAGGCATAGTCGCAGAAGTCAGAGCTGAAAGACATGGTCTTGTAATTAGACCTGTGTTGATGTGTATGCATTATATGTAATCCTTGAACTTTGCACCAGAGGATCTTGACTATAGGCTTAAGGCCTAAATTCCTCTGTACTTATACACATTTGACCAAAGTGAACACTAGATGTTAGAAAGATTCCTGAAAATCAACATTAGACACCTAAAAAGTAAAGGCCTAATGAAACATTAGAACATTTCTAATGAGACATTAGAGCACTGCTTGTAAAAGAAAATTCATTTTCCTTTAATTTGAATTTAAGAGTTGGGGTTTGAGTTTGGTGGTGTTCTGTTTTGCTTTTTAAACAGCAGGTGGAAGAAAGATGAAAAGAGGCATAGTAGGAAAGTGGATTGATCTTAACATGTTTATTTCCTTCATGAATACAGGCGTACACTGAAGCCAAACAAGTGTAAAGCATCAATATAACATCATGTCCTTTGGTCATAGAAAAGGAAGAGAAATGGCTGTTGCGCCAGAGGGGGAGTGACAGAACCCCTTTGTTACGGCTCTTCTTCTGACAGCCTTTCAGCTGTCACCTGCCACTTTGCCTTCCATTTTGAGTTGTATTTGTATCTCTCCCCAGCTCGTAAGCAGGAGATTATCAAGGTTACTGAGCAGTTGATTGAAGCTATCAACAATGGGGACTTTGAAGCTTACACGTAAGTTTTATCATTTAGGAGGGAGTGAGGAGAGTTCATGTATTTGGTACTGTAGATTTAAATACGCATATTTATATGAGCATGTTTGTATTTATGTACTGTTGGAGTTAATTCTCGGGTGCCCCCAAGAAATCCAAGCCCCAGCTTTACGCAAGCCTGATTGCCAGTTTCAGAGGAGCTGCTAGTGTAAATCCAGCCTACTGCTCTGCTGAGACAGGATCATAATCCTGACACAAAATACACAGTGATCTGTCTTGGCATACTAACGTAAAGCCATGTTTCTGATTTGAATACAGAAGACACAGCAGAAACCTCTTTTAGCAGAAAATTTTTATTGTATGTAGAGATATATAGTAGCTAGAATCCCAGAGCATGAAAGACCACGTGGAATTTAGGTTCCTCCAGTCTCTGCTGAGAAGGAACAGAGAACCGTGCAAGAATTTGCTGTCAGCAAATGGACTGATTTGTCTCTCAGCTTTTCTCTGCAAAGGCCCAATTCCATCACTGCTTCTCTTCCTCTTTAAAAAATAAAAATAAAAATTGAAAAGTAGAGGAGCACCCTTCTCAGCATTTCCTTTTGACTCCTGTGTTTCTCTGGGTGGATTCTGTCCTGATGCATCATAAGCCCCACAGTTCAACAGTGACAGTGCTCATCTGCTGTGATTTAAGCCTAGCCACTAACTCAGAACCATGCAGCTGCTCACTCACTCCCCTCTTTCTTCCCCCTCTGCTCCTGGACTTATGGGGAGGAGAATCAAAAGAATGTAAATCCCATGGGTTGAGATAAGAACAGTCCAATAGCTAAAGTATAATACAAAACCACTACTACTACCACCAATAATTACAAGGGAAATAACAAGGGGAGAGAATATAGAATTAAAAGGGGAAAAGGAAAAGAAAACAATAAACACAAGTGATGCACAGTACAATTGCTCACCGTCTGCCAGCGGATACCCGGCCCTACCCAAGCAGTGATCAGGACCTTCTGGATGACTCTCCCCAGTTTATATACTGGACATGATGTGCTGGGGCATGGAATACCCCTTTGGGTAGTTCAGATTAGGTATCCTGTCTCTGCTTCTTCCCTGCTTCTTGTGCCCCTCCTCATTGGCTGAGAGAGCATGAGAGACTGAAAAGTCCTTGATTGGGGTAAGCATTATCTAGCAATAATTAAAAGACTGATGAGTTACCAGCATTGTTAGACTAAAGTTGAAAACACAGCACAGCACCAGCTACTAAGAAGGAGAAAAGTAACAAGTTACAGCTGAACCTAGGACATCATCCTGTTTCAAAGACTTGCTAAAGACAGTACTAAACATTAGTTTGGTGTGATCACAATAAATCTTCAGTTGTACAGATGTCAGGAGAAAACTTAGAATCACAGAATGGTTTGGATTTGAAAGGACCTTAAGATCATCTAGCTCTAATCCTCTGCCATGGGCAGGGATGCTTCACACCAGACCATGTTGCCTAAGACTCTGTCAAACCTGGCCTTGAACACTGCCAGGGATGGAGCGTTTACACTTCTCTGGGGAACCTGTTCCAGAGCCTCACCACCCTCACAATAAAAACTTAATCCAATTTCTTGTCTAAATTTATCAGTTAAAAAATAAATAAATCTTGCTTAAATTATGATGTGAGACATAAAAAATATCCTTTGGATTGGGCAGAAACAGTTTTCAGAGTTACAAGTAGAAATTCCTACATGTAATACCATAGATTTGTGGGGCCTTCTTTGACAGTTTTTTTGGGGTTGGTTTTTTTTGGTCAAAAGATGATTTCTGTGACACCTAGTCCACCTAAAGTAAGCTGCCAAATTTACTACTTTAGGTGAAACAGAACTCCATTACTTCTCCCCATGTAAGTTCTGTTTTTTTCCAGTATGATGGCACAGATAAGGAACATGTCCAGTGGGAATAAAGGAGGCATTTAAAAAGGAATCTTTCCCAAAGTTGTTTTTAGAGAACTGCATGTGTTGATGACAGAATTTTCTCTTTTCCACAGAAAAATCTGTGATCCAGGCCTTACATCTTTTGAACCTGAAGCATTGGGTAATCTAGTAGAAGGGATGGACTTTCACCGGTTTTACTTTGAAAATGGTAAACATTGCTTTTTCATCTCCGTGAATCTTCATCTGTTCCATGGGATTGTGTTTGTTGGATGTTAATTAATTTGGGCAGGGGAAGAGAGTATTTTATTTTTTTTTAGGGTTCTGCTCTGTGTGTTTTCCTCTCTGTTCCTGCGTTGCTCATTCATGCAAACCACTTTGGATAGCAAAGGAAAGTTTGAGGTATTTGGAAAGAGAAAGCCAAGGTGTATAAAAGCAAATACAAACAAACCATCAACAAGTAATTCTCATACCTTTTTTTTTTTTTTTTCTATTGGGGAAAAGATAAAATCATGCTGTGAATATACTTACAGGAAATGTGCATAATAGTGTGATTACAGTGACTGCAGCTGACATTCAGCACTTCTAGTGAGTGTGATTTGTTGGGAAGACATTGTCTACACTGCTGATCAGCTCTCTTTCTGGTATTGGTTTTGTGTGTGTATATATATATATTTATGAAAAAACCAATATATATAATTCATACTTTACAGTCATGTCAGCTGTTAGAAAAATTGTCCATAGAGTGGGTTTCATAAAGTTTTGGAAGACCACGTAATGTAGGTAACCATTTTAGAGCAGACTTGACTCAAAAGGAGATAAATGAATTTTACCCAGTAATTTCTGAGAATTGTCTGAGCATAAGAAGGTATTATTGTATTCCTAAATTCTTTTCCACCTCCAAAATAGTATTTTCCATATGTTTTCCTTATGTTGTTTCCTTTCATTGCCTCTGCTTTTTGTTTTTCGTAGATGTCAGCACTTAGTAAGATACCTCACAAGACTGAGTTAAAAACTGAATTATTTTAACTGAAAAAATAAGTACAAATGTCTGACATTAGCCACAGCAGCAAAGTGAAGTATTGGGAAAACTTAATCAGGAAACTCAAGATGGTGGCCCCCACTTTATTAATGCATGTTTGTACATGGATTAAATAATATGTACTAGTAAACTTTTGCTTGATTTCCTTATATGAATGGGGAAAATATGCTGTAACTGCTCTGAATTGTACAATGTACTTAGGCTAGTTGTCAGTCATGATTATCAGTAAACAAAAATTGCTACTTTGTAGCAGCTAATTTTGAGAGTCTTGTCTAAAGTGGGATGAGTTGAGTTATTTTAGCATACATAGAGAAAATGTAATTTATGCTCTGTGTGTGTGTGTGTGTGTTTGCTTCCTAGCTTTATCAAAAAGTACCAAACCAATCCACACCATTATCCTCAATCCTCATGTGCACCTGGTGGGTGATGATGCTGCTTGCATTGCATATATCCGGCTCACACAGTACATGGATGGAAGCGGAATGCCAAAGACTATGCAGTCAGAGGAAACGCGTGTCTGGCACCGTCGTGATGGAAAGTGGCAGAATGTTCATTTTCACCGTTCAGGGTCACCAACAGTACCCATCAAGTAAGCAACAATTCAGACCAAAAGCTTAAAACTATGTAGGTCAGGCAAGGTAGTCAAATAGCTGCTTTTGGCCTTAAAAACTTTGTCCTCTTGATAGTGTAATTACTTGTGGTAATTTGTGCAGTGTGTATTGTATTCAGTAATGTGCATATAGTACTGGTGCAAATAATGCTTTTCTTGCTGTTGCTTTCAACTGTGGTGCCCACTGATCCAACTCAGTCCCTGAACTAACAGCTTGAAGAGCAGAAAAGTGTTAGAATATAGATAAGGCTTGAGACAAGTCACACAGAATTTGAAAACCTGACAAGATAAAAAGCAAGAGGATACCTGGAGCTATTAGAGTGAACCAGAAAGTTTCAAGGAAAGAAGTATAACTGTTCTGAAAAAGTAACACTGTTCTGAGTAATATTTGTTGTGATTTCCAGCCACTTCTACTTACACAGGCCTAGTTATGTTCACTGCGAGTAGATTTTGAGCCAGTGTATGTATTTACTTTGTAAATTAAATCATACGGGTTCCTGTCACATTTTAACCTCATTTCCCATGCTCTTTTTGCTTAACTGCTGAAGTTAAGCTGTCAGTAACTGTCTGACAGTTACAACATCTGTGTGGGTACACCTCGGATCTTGCTTGTCATCAGTTTTCTCTGTTACTCATCCAGGCATCTCTGCATGCCCTCTCATACTCTCGAAGTCATGCCATGACTCAGTGCATGCAAACCTGAATTCATTGAGCCAGATTTAGAGCAGTCTAAATTACAACACACTCATAGTTCCAATAACAAGATAAAGAGGCTCCTTCAAGAGGTTCTGTTCATGTCCTTTGCTGTTCTTCTGTGTGCAGTCTTTGGATGTTCTTTTTGATGTTCTTCTGTGTGCACTCTGAGGATGCTGTCATATCCTCAGAGCCAAACCCCCCTGACTTCTGGTTTAAGTTAGGCTGTTTCCAAATTAGACGGCACTGGCATAGACCTTGGTTTGCTCAGGTGCAAGCTCCCCTGATAGGATATAATCATGTTCATGCAAGGTATCTTAATGTCAATTGTGGCTGAATTTCCTGGCTTGGATGTTAAGAGCTTAGATTTCATCCTTCCAACTTCATCATGCCCCATATTTTACTTCTTGCAACAGTATTCTCCCAGATGAAATAATACATGATAAAGAAGGAACATGATAGAATAGAATGAAGTGTTACAAATTCAGTGGGGATGATTTTGGTGTTTGTGGTTTTGGGGGTTTTTTTGGGGGGGTGTTTCTTTGTTTCTGTTTTAGTTTCGGGTTTTGGGTGGTGGTTTGTTTTTTTTTTAAGTAATTTGATTACTTACTGATAACTATTGTATTTTACTTCATAATGTGAAACCAATGGGAGCCAAACCCCTGTCATCCACTGTTTTTCACATGCCAGCTGCACATGCCATGTTCACACGGATAATACTGAAACACTAGTTACCTTCTCACAAAATGCGGTGTCATGTAGATTTTTGATGTTTCCATAAAAAAGCATTTTGTTAGGGAACCTGGCCTGAGTATGCATGCAGCCAGAATACAGAAGTGAAACAGGTTCATCTGCCCCAGTGCACCCTGGACAGTAAGTGTCTCTAGCAGAATGATATGAATTGGACTAGAGAACTATTCAGTCGCTCCCTTTGTTGTTTTCCATCCCCTCTGTTTTTTGAAAAGTGGGGCTGGTGGTGTCACTTTAATTTTTTTTTTTTAGACATATTTATAAGAAAAAATCCGAAAGAGAAGAGGTAGTTTCCGACAACTCATTCTTACATACCAAAACCAGAAGGCAAGAAAACAGCCATCTTTTTCCTATTTTCATGGAAGATTATGGAATTTACCCAATAATTCCTATTAGAATTCTTTGAGGAATATTTTATAGATATATACTGAACAACTTCTGCAGCTTCTTGTTTCTGAGGGACAGTTTTGTAACAGAAGCCTTGACGCTTAGTTCTTGTAACGTGTATATGTGATGAGCTGCCGTGTGGTGTGACATGTACTGGTCTTACAAAAGCTCACCAGAGGTAGTTTCTCTGGAATATAAAGGCCAAGCTCTAACTGCCACAGAGCAAGTAGCTCTTGATCCTTCGACTTCACATCTCCAGGGAATGCAGTTGTATATACAGATCTGAGTTTTGCCCCTCCGAAGTAGTGCCAGTATTTAAGACTTGGGTAATGTCAGTTCTTTATGGCTGCTCATGCTCTCTAATAAAGATAAAGATTTCTGCTAAAGATGGAAGGAGGAGAAGCTGAGAAATAATTTTGTTGAGACTGTAGGGTTACGTCTATGTCAGTGGATATTTTTAGCCTGTGGGGTCAGACAGAGGAGATCTGAGGATTGCACAAGGGTATCCATGCTGAAAAAGCCACAGAGAAGGAGGAACAGCTCAAAGCCTTAGAGTTTGTCTAAGGCTTACGGAAAGATGCTCTGAGATTGCAACATAACCCTAAATATGGAGCTTCTACATAGCATTGGCATTAATGTCATTTAAATCCCTTACCTATCTCTCCTTTTGAATTCAGAGGGGTTTTCTGGACTTTCTCATATCACTGTTCTAAATGCCATTTTTGTGATGGTTAGAAACTTTAACTTTCCAGTCTAAATTTGCGTCATACTCAATGTATCCTCTACTATTCTTATTTCATCATTCTTTTATACTGGGGATAGGTATGCAACCATGAGCTGTTTTATATGAAGGCTGATGAGATCACTTCCCGCCTTCTATTTTTGTGGAGTAAATAACCAATACCGTCTTGGGTAGCTTTTTTTTTGTTAGGATATCCATTTTCCTGGCTACCTTAACAGCTCATTGCCTTCTTTGGGTTTGAGGTTTATCTTTTCATTAGGCTAGTTTCTTCTGAAATACCGTGTGCAGTTGTGGTCAGGGCTTTATTTAACTTCACAAGGTCTTTCTTTTCCCTTTTGCGAATGATGCCACAACTGTTATGTTTTGGCACTGTTTTTAAACTCTTGTCATCTACATCATATCAGTGGATCATCTGATAGCCACATATTTATCCTCAACTGTCATATCTATCCAAAGAGTCTGTAGAAACTTCTGCTGAGTGTGCAGTTTTGTACTTGTGTGTAACATTTCTGTATTACCCAGCCTTCAAGGTTATTTGGTTCTTCTTGCACAATACTCTCATTTTCTTTTGTGTTTGTAGTGTCTTCCACCTAAGTGTAAGTACACTACCTGAGATCAGTCCTACTGCTTGTGCTTAGGTCACTGGCAAAGACTAGTAAGTCTTCTCTAGGCTGGTAGCTCCCTTTCAGCCCAAACATTGCCATTTTTCTTTTAGTTATTTTACATGTTCTTTCTTTAATCCCCATCTTCTCAAGTTGGTATGAGCAGTCAAAGGGCTATTGGACCTAAAACTGTTGCCCAAACCTAAATTCAGGCCTGATCCTCCCAGGCTTATATTCCCTCACTTAATACCTTCTTGCACTTTCATAAGTTAAATACCAAATAGCAGGAAGATTTACAGTTTGTTCTGTGTTTGTACAATGCCTAGCACAGCGGGATCTCAATCATGACTTCGTCCTCTAGATGTTACGGTAATACAAACATTACTATAAGCGGAGTTAGTTAACTACTTGGTTATATGTTCCTTTCCTTTTCTCTTTGCATATGGCTCCTGCATGTCTTGCATGTAAATTTCGTATGATTCTTCCTCATTACTCAATTCAATTTTTATATGAGAATCTGGGTCCGTGGCAGTGTCTGTAGCGTATATGCTGAGGAAGTGAATGCAACTCGGAGATTCAGGTCTGAGCGCTGCCCTCCCTCTAAGAAATCGGTTAAGGCACTTTGGCTTCCTGGCTCAGTTTCCTTTTTTTATCTTAACAGACTCTGGCATGTTGTAAAGATGAAAAATGTCTGTGAAGTTGTTTGAAAAATAATGGTTTACTGAGTGTTTTAAGGGTTTTGTCCCCCTTGGTTTCCTTCACAATATTGTGTTAGATGATCTTGAGAAGTGGCAATGTTACTTCAATAATGGCAATCTGTTTTGTTTTTTTCTCCTTCCTCCTAGCTAAAAATATCAGCGATGCCACTCTTGCATTTTCTGTACCCAACGCACCTAGTTGATTACCATCTTGGCCATCCCGTTCTCTTCATGCATGTTTCTGAGTGCATGAAGTTGTGAAGGTTCTTCATGTAACACATTGTGATGCAACATGTTGCTGTATGTACCATCTGTACACATTTCAATGAAGGTGATGTTCCATGCAAATAGAGAGTAACGAGGCTTAAAAGACAAAAAAATGTTTGATAGCCAGCAGTAGATACAGAATACGTGTGTCACTTTCTCCATTTCTGCCAAGTTTTGACAGACAACTTTAAAAATAATCCTGTTTATTAAAAAAGAAAATAAAAAAAAAAAAAGTACATTTTATCCTCTTTTTTTAAGAACTGGTTTTTGACTCCTCCTCCAAGTCCCAAGATTTTGCTTTGGTTCTGATAGGATTGGTTAGGATTTCTGCTGGCAGCTCCGTTACTGTACAGCAGATTTTAATTACAGCATGTAGATGGACAAAATTACTGATAAATGTGGAAGTGATAATACCTTGGCTTTGTACCAGCTGAAGCCCTCTTAGTTTATTAGTCTGTGTAAACTGGAAAAATTTCATCGCTTGCTGGCTTGATCACAACAGAATTAACTGCTGATGTTCTGCTGAGCCAGCAGCTTCTTTTTTTTCTTTTGAGTCTCTACCTTTTCTTCCTTACTATGCTAATTGAAGATTTCTATTGGATGACTAAAGCCAAATTAAAAATTGTAAGGAACAAAGTGATGATTGAGGGGCATTGTCTGAGGATTCAAATGGAAAAACAGAGATTTTTATCACTTCTTGGGCGTACTATAAAATTTTTAATAAGGCTTTAACACATGTACCATTTTGGTTAAGCTGTAGACCAGTTGTGTGGTTAATACACTCCAGAAATACTAGGCCTTAAAAGCTTAGTATGAAGACTTTACACTGCTGCTCTTGCTTCTCTGGAAATGTGTTATAGATACACCAGTTTTTCTAGTAAGACTCACACTGCACCACAGATCAGTTTCTCCCCCCTCAATCTGCCCTTGGTTTCTTGATGTCCTCAGACAGCATACAGCACCAAGGACAACAATTTTCGCAGCATCACCACCTTGGCTTGGTTGCTGGACACTCATGCGCTGCATGGGGAGTGCTCGCGGTTCCAGATGCAAACTTTGTAACGGGGACTAGTTTTGCTTCCCTTATATTGTTGTGAAAACACACCCCTGCAACCAGTTAGGTTTATTCCCTTTCAGTTTTTAAAATGGAAAAGTTTCCTGATTTGTACCATTTCACCTTTTTGTGCTGATTACTAATCAAAAACAGTTCTTAAACATTTTGATGTTGTTACTAGTGGATGTATGGTAGATGGATTTAAGCTTCTCTGATAATTCATGATTTTAAACAATATATATTTAAAATACGCATCTACAATAAATGTGTTGAGCCATATTAACCTGCCAATGGGATGTAATAAAAGTAATGGCCTCATTTTTTTCTGATTAATTTTTTTTTTTTTTTTGGTGAAGCAGCTATAAGTGGCATAACTGTATGTAAGATTAATAAATTAGGTGTAGGGTGTTTTTTATACTTCTAACATAGCATGTGGTGTTGACATAATACTATAGACCAACTTTGTCTTCCACACCAAGATGTGAGGAAATTGTGATTTATTCTCTCCGTCACAACCAAGTTACACGCTTCCGTCATTTTGGAACACTGCAGTTTACCATGGGACACAGTGTACATATTTCTTGCCATAATGGTAAATGATTGATATATTTAAGGATTAATAAATTTGTGATTTCTGCTGACATTGTGCTTGTGTTTTAATTTCCCCATGAACTCTGATTTTTGCATTCCAAAGTGTGTTGGGTCAGAGACAGATGCTGTTTCTTAGGAACTGAGCTTGCAGTTTGAAAATAGGAGTCTTTGCTTTTACAATTGTGGTTTGGTTTTGAGTTAGTTCTTAGCTGCCTGTTGTGAGGACCTGATTGTACGCCACTCATGCTGTACTTTGTTGATAGATTTTGCACATCTTGTATCTATAGCTCCATATTTAGAAATGTTTTAGGTAGTTTGCGTGTTGCTGCGGCTGCCTTACTGTGTTTCATGTGCTCAGCCTGTAGCACAAGATGCTGTTACGAGCAGTTAAGTCTGTGATTAGCCTTACTGACCATAAATACATTCCACAAATATTATTCCACAAATAGTAGGCATTTTAAATAATATACATGAGTTTAAAAGCTCTCATCTCTCTCTGTAGTGATTTTAAGCGCTCTTATCCTGTGCTGAGCCATGTCTGGGAACAGTCGTTTATAGCAGCAGAAAAGGACTAGAGAGGAGACAACTTCCAGTTTTCATGGGTCATGAAATGCAAAGCTCGATCAATGTTCTGGTTCTGTGCCCAGGGCAGCATAGTTGCAAGCCAGACCTGTAGCAGCCGTGGTACACAGCATGGCAGTGATCCAGGAGTTCTGCCTGTTGAAGGAGCCAGTGCATATTCCTGGGCTGGTGAAAATTCCAGTGCTTCCTTTTGGATGGCATTCTGCTATGTATGTATATAAAAAAAAAGGAAAACAGTTAGGATAGGGTTCAGAGGTTTGGAATGTTTTGGTAAGCCCCAGAGGGAGCAAAAGCATTTTAGTCTGTCAGGAGGTTTTATATTTTGTCATATCACTTCTACCTCTTTGTTTACACATTTTTTCCACTAAGTGCTATTCCAGAAATGAGTTTGATTTCCATTTTAACTGTGTGCCTGCAGTAAGCTGTTAGCAGTAGAATTGCTAACGATTTCAGGTATGTAGAATGTGTAGGAGTGTACAGAGAGGGGCTCAGGAGAACACATTTGCTAAATACCAGATTGAAGATTTGGGAGAAAGGTGGGGTTTGGGGTTTTTCTGTTTATCGTTGTGGATGTCATTTTATAGGACAAATGTTTTAGTAGGCTGCCTCCTTGTGGCTTTTTGTAATTATTTTTTCTATTTAGGACTGCATGAAAAAGATCCTATTTTTTGTGATCAGAAAGGAACTCAGTGTTTTCATGCATTCACTTTTTTAATGTAAGGAACACAGATTATTTCAGAGGCTGAACCATTGCTAAGTCTTGAATATATGCTGTGCACATACCTAGAGGAATCAGACTGATTCCATTTTCTAAAAATGGCCTCTCAAGACACAGTTAAGAAAATAAACCTGGAGTTGTATATTAAATCCAGAGTTCATTGTGTTGAAGATTAATATTTCTTTGGTGTGCTATTAATCTTTTGTAATGTGTCATCTCCTCACACGGTGTGCTCGCAGAAAACATAATTACTTTGTTGTCAGGGGTTGTTTTCTTCTTAAATTTGTATAGTCATACTTCAAACATAACTCACCTTAGAAAAGACCATTAGTCAAAAAAATTAACTGTTTTATTATTTGGATAGACCCTGAGGTCTGCCTATGCCTCACGTCAAAGGAATCCTGCATATAACAGATGAGAAGCCTTTCCTCTCTTCTCCTCCCTCTTGCACAGATAATCCATGGCTGAGCAGAACAAGCTGTAGGATCTGCTTCCAGGACAACATGCGTTGTAAAATGAGGAGAGCACAGCAGTTCTTCATGCTAGTATGCTGCAAAACAGCAGCACAAGGCTGTATGTTTCCAGCATGTTCTTGTCCAGACTGAGTGCAGGTGAAAAAGGCACTGCAGAGAGTAAGTCTGGGGAAGAGGAGAACATGTAATCACAGAGTGTGAGGGAAGGAAAATCAGTGCAAGAAGACAAGCTGATAGAAAACAGGGCTTACAAGGTGAAGAGATAGGAGCACCGTATTTCTGTGTTTAAAGAAATGTCGCATTCTTTCCTGAAAGATGTTGCAAGAACTCAGCTGTGGGGCTGGACCATCTTATGAACTAACTGGAAGTTTATCTCATATAACCTTGCAGCATTATACCTTTAATTAGTTAACAAAGTTAGGTAGTTAAATATGGTACATGTATGGGACAAGTTTGTTTCCCTTATGATAGCAAGGGCTGCATGTGCATGGCCACAGTATGTCCTCTGAGAAGTTGCGTTCAGTTGCAGTGTAGAATTTATCAGAAATGTGGCACACTTCATGACAGCCAAGAGCCTACCTAGGTGTTTAATTACTGACTTCTGCTGTCCCCAGAACAGCTGTTCCTTTTCTGCAGTGGAAAGAGGTTGTCTTGTGTCAGAGCAGAAGAAAAGTGCAGTGTGTATCACCGAGTTCTGTGCTCACTATCAGGTATTTCCCAGTGTCCTGGCAAGCTGGTAGAGAAGGAGGGGAGAGTGAAGTTTATTAATAAACAGGCCACTGAGAGAGATTTCATGTCAAACAACACAACCCTGAGCCAGGAATAATGAGACCCCTCCGTTCTCTCACCACTCCTTTTCCCACCCTTCTCAGGCATTCGATGTTGGCTCCGTGAGAGGACAGCTGCTCAGGACCAAGGCAGTGACAGCCACAGATTGTTAAGTAACACTTGTAGTCAAGGGACAATATTAGCAAGCAACCAGCCTGATAGTGGAGGTACGAGCCCACATTTGTGTGCCTGACAGCTCATTTTATAAGCAGTTATTGCTGAACATTGGTACCTAGACAGAAGTCAGACACTTAGTAGGGAAGGAGAAGAGAGTACTCCCAAGCACACACCTCTGTCATATTGCAAAAAGATGTCAACTTAAACACCATATAAAACTCTTGCCACGTCCTATGCCCTGGAGAGAAGGTAAGTACCAGAGCAGGAAGCAAGATTTCAGCTCCAGGACTGATGGCAGGATTGCACATTCTTACCGTTTCAGTGAAGAAGTAAGTAAATTAAAACATTCATGACTGATGATCACTCTCTTGCAGAAGTTATTTGGGGGGATTATCCTGGAACGAAGGAACTGCAAAGATGCTGTGTCAATATTAAATAGACATGGTGATTGATGTTGCTGCAGGTTCTGGCATCAGTACCTACTGCCCCATTTTTAGCCTGTTTTCTGGTTGGTGTATACATGTTCTTCCCATGGTGACTCTGAATCTCACAGTTGCTACTTCAAACACACTGTAGTACTGGATTCCTAGCAGCATGCTGTGCTGGATGGATGGATCTGTTGAGAGAGTTTTATGGAATATAATCAAAAATGGTAGGCCCTCCACAAACTGCTGCAAGAAGCAGGTGATGATCTGTGCTACTGTTACTTGCAAAATGACAGAGGATGTTACAGGCAAAGTGCATCACTCATGGTGTCACAGAAACTTAATTGTGCCTGGAATGAAACCAGTTGAACTGAGTTCCACAAAACCCCAATATAAGGCTTAGTAGACACAGGGTCAGATTTGGCACTAGAGTTCTCCCTGGTGCTCCATGTGTCCCTGGAAATTGCTTTCACCTTGGCTGTCACCAGCGTCCTCTTCCTCTGCTGGCCTGTCCTTCCGACCCCAAGTATTCTCCTCCTTTGTGCAGTACCTCATTAACCCATCTGTCCCTGAACTGTCACAGTTCCCTGTTTTAACAGGATTTCCTTCTAGTGGCTGTGCTTGTGTAACCTCTGTGCTGTGCTGTGTTTGAGCTTCGTTTCTTTCCCTTGTCAGAAAATCTTTGTCTTGAACTCAGCTTTCACCCTGTCTCTATATGTTTCCTTGTTCCACAGTGTTTGTTTGCCTCTGTTTCTCAGTGCCCTGAAGCAGGATTCATGAACCTCAGGAGCTTGGCATGTTCTCAGAATGCTTACTTGGTTACATTCCTCAGGCAAAATGGGCATCTGAACATCTCCCTGGTCTGAGCTAGAAATCTAGCATGAGCTGAGAGCATGGCTACTCTGCTGTTCACCTGTGAGTGCTCTGGGGCAGACACACAGGATTAGATTCTAAGTAAGTGCCTCGAACACTTAAAAATTCATGAAATGCAGGCACTGATATAGAAGGGGTAAGAGCTATGCAGTAGTTTTACAATCACAAGTTTGGGTTTAACTCCTGTTCGTGCTACAGGTTCCTTTGGCATTGCTGAGGGATACAGCTGTTAATATTTTTTTCCCCTTGTGTACGGAGTTCCTGTTAGAAAGGCTGGCTGACACCTCATCTGGAGCAGAGCAGGTTTTCCTGGGATGCAGCTGTGGGCTGCCATTTCACTTTGATGGAACCATATAAATGCTGAATTCCCGTTTTGTTTCTGTTCTCCAGAGTCTTTGGCGTACTCAAATATTGCTGCTCACATTGCAGTCTTACATTTTTATTCCTTTTTCTCTGGAGCAAAGCTAGTTCAAAAGGTGCCTGCTCCCCCCATTCCAGATACTCATTTCCACATTTGATCATGCTTAAATACTGGGGAGGGGCGGGGTATGAGATTTTTTTTTTTTAACTGAGATTTTTTCACTGGTCTGGTTTTGTAAGGTTATCTGACAAGAGGTTGCATCAGCACAACAAAGAAGTTACAGGGAACAAGCTTTGGGTGGGAATGGAAAAGCTTCTTAAACCAGCTTACCACCACTGAAGATGTATGTGCAGTTATTTCTTAAGTAATTGAATCCAGTGTATCTGCCAGTATACTGGTTTGTGGTCAAGGCTCCCAAGAAGGTAAACAACTTCAAAAGTTGACTCTCTACTGCTACATGCCTTCATGGAAAGTTGATGAAAAGAGTAATTCCTCCGACAGTTACTCACTGCCATGAAATTCCAATTATTGTTTCCTACCAGGAGGTTAATTCTAGTTGCAGATTAGCAATTTGGAATAGAAGGCCTTATGTTACTACCCACACTTGTTTTTAATAGTTGCCTCCACAGCACACATTAACTGGACTTCCCCTTGTTATCAGTCGTTCTGTGAA